AGACTTTTTACGCAGCATATAACTTACTTTGTTTACTTTGAGACTGATTCATCCACCTATTTCTGGGAGGACATATAATGTTTTAAAAATTTAACAGATAGTGCAAGGTCAGAGAATCAATATTCAAACAAAGTCTGCTGAAGGCTGTTCAGGATAAAGGCTGGGGCCTAGAAGCTGAAGACAAAAGGGGAATGTGCAGGGTCGCACGCATCTTACTTCCTGTCTAACTGGAGAAAGCAGCCCCTAGGACCCCATGTAGCCAGGATGCACCCGGCCAAGCTCAAATTTACAGGTCACCTCTTTAACCAAGAACAACCACAGAGGGGTGAGTGACAACTTGGAACACAGAGCTCCTGGGCCACCCCTCCCACATCCCCCCAGGCGAAGGGCAGTCCCCGCTCAGGGAGAACAGGAAAGCAACCCTAGTTCCAGTCTGAACCACTCATCACATTTCTATCTACACGATTTCGGAATAAACAACCTAGAGTTAACTTCTAGAAAGTCCTGGGAGAGCAATAAAAGTGGTAATGGGGAAATTAATAGTCTGACCAAGAAAGGTTCGAGCACAGTTTCTAGGTAAACATAAGAAATTAAGAGCAGTAGTATTCCTTTATCCAACCTAGCCAGATAGAAGACTGGAAAAAATGCCTGCACTGAGGACAGAAGCCTCCCTTAGCTGTGGACACTTTTTAAATGGCCTATCACAGCAATGTGACCCGCTGCGGGGCAAAGACTTGTACGGGTAGAATCAGGGTCCTTATTCTAAATGGAATCCTAACTAGAAATAGTTCCCTTCTTTTTGCTGAAAGAACAGCTTTCCAAGAAATATAAAGCAAGCCACAGAGGTGGGATTTAAGGTCAGGCATGTGAACATTCCATAGCCCTAAACCCCACAAGCTGATAACATTCTATCCCGGAAAAACTGGCCGAGAATGAAACCAGAACAAAGAGGCCCCTGTGAGCTGCTTAAGCCTGCTATCAGCTCATCTCCAAGGGCTCAGGGTCACGCTCTGCTGGGGGGTGGGATGGGGGCACAGATGGCTGTCCAGCCAGCTCTGGCCCTCATGACCCTGCTCTCCAGACACAGCTTCCATCAAGCTCAGTCTGCAGGACTGAGTGGAAGGGCCTTTAATCTGAACCTGCGTCAATCAGCAGGTAGAAGAAAACTTGGTAAACAAAGTCCGAAATGCTTAGCTCTTAGAGAAAAAAAAAAAAAACAACAAAAAAAACAACCAAAAACCTCTCAAAATCTAATTATCTTTCAAAATCTAAGTATCATTTAAACAACTGATAGCTGAGATTTGCTTCAAATAACGGAAGAGGGAACGGTGAGGAACATAAATGAAACAAGATTGGCTAGCAATTGGTCACTGTCAAAGACAGACAACAGTCGCATGGGTTTAATTTCACTGTTCTCTCTACTTTCGTATGTTTGAGATGTTTCATTCTAAGTAAAAAAAAAAAATCATACAAAAGCAATGTGAAAATGTAGGTAAATAAAAAAATTAAAAACCAGTGAAGAAAACAAAAACCACACACAGTCCTATAACCACAGAGAATTACTGTCAATGCTTCTATTTGCTTCCAATCTTTTCCACATTCTTCTTTCTTTTGTTTCCAAACTAATGTCATCTGCCTATACTGTTTTGTGACCTGCTCTCCATTCCTCTCTTACTTTATCTTGAGAATTATTCAAGTCTTTAACTGTCCTTTAAGAGTATGATTGTCATAGTCTTTCATCAAAAGGTAAGCCAAAATCTATTTCTAGTATTTGACTTTTATAAGTAAGTGTGTGGTGAACCAGGAAGGATGACATTTCTAATATAGGTGATTCCAAGTTAAGAAATTAATTTCTGGGGGCACCTGGGTGGCTCAGTGGGTTGGGGCCTCTGGCTTTGGCTCGGGTCGTGGTTCCAGGGTCCTGGGATCAAGTCCTGCACTGGGCTCTCTGCTCAGCGGGGAGCCTGCTTCCTCCTCTCTCTCTGCCTGCTTCTCTGCCTACTTGTAATCTCTGTCTGTCAAATAAATAAATAAAATCTTTAAAAAAAAAAAAAGAAAGAAATTTCTGGATATGTCCCCAAACATAATCTGACAGCATACAGGCAAAGGAATACTAAGGAAGAAGCCACTGGCTCCCAGACTAGATCACTGTGAGCACTTACTAACTTTCCAGGTACCTGCTGTTGCCAAGGCCATGGTGGGAGGAAATAGCAACAGACATAAAACTGAAACATGGTCATGAAGTGCCTCTCAGGCAACAATTCACAAACCAGATCCACACAAGGAGTTCAAGACATCTGCCAGCATCTCTGAAATGCTCAAGTCTTGAGATACTAAGTTTCCAAAGGCAAGGAGATGTGCAGGGGCCTGGGGTGGTACAGGAAGGCTCTGTAGGCAAAGGAAAGGATCCAGCAGATTCTCGGAGACCCCCGTGCCTCCAACACTCAATCATTCCATGCCAGTGATGCTTACAGAACTAACAGAACTGACATCGCTTAGTCCTATCACTGCGTTCTTTCCCCAGAGCCTTAAAGATGATTTCTTCCCTCCAAAAAAAGAAAATCCACAAAATTCTCAGGATGGGGAGATGAAAGGGATCTTGTTTCCCTGAACGGTTTTTCCCTGCCAAGAAGTCGATTTGGCAGAATATCTGGGAAGACAATACCTCATACCATCAGTCTGAGTGCCAGTCAAAGATGTAATTTTTCTTTCTGAAGCAAATCCGTAAGTGGCCCATTTTGTGACACATGGTAACGACTGACAGCTGAACACGTTCTAGCTATGTTCCGTCTGGCCTTCCCGGACTCCTGCGAAGCACCGGGAGCCTCTGAATCAGACTGTGTGGCTCTGGCCAGCAGCCGGGAAGGGTCACGCTGCAGCCATCCTGGACAGGGAGCCACAGTGAGAACTTCTCTAGAGGCGGCCCAAGGACGCAGTGAATGACAACAGAGCTGCAGTGGGACCACGAAGAGGACTGCAGGAGACCGGGGTTTCTTCCAGTTTCCTTCCCTTTACCCCTCCCTGTCAACCATTTCCGTTTTTTATTTCAGAAAGGACAACCGTGGCTCTCTTAGCACTCGGTCAAGGATGGAATAGAGAAAAAGTCAGGCTGTCACACCCTGAACACACACTCTCTGAGGTCAGAAACTAGGTAAGTGGGTAACTAAGTGCTTATCTGAGTTCCAGTCCTCTTTCCCAGCCCTCCCCAAACACAGGGGTCCCAAGGATTGCCCTAAGGCTGCTGAGCCACCAAAATTCTCAAGAGCATCATCATTTACACGTGCTCTATGATGACTACTATGGAAAAATTATAAAAGTATGTGCGGGGATAGCAAATTCACAAGTGATTTTTTTTTTAATCTTTTGTTGTTGTTACAGAGTTGTTTTGACTGTAGAAAATTAGCTTAAGAAAAGGTTATTACCTAACAAGACTTGGGGAGGATATGGAGAAAAAGGAACTCATGCATTGTTGGGGGGAATAGAAATTGGTGTAGTCACTGGAAAATCAGAGGGAGGTTCCTCAAAAAATTAAAAACATTAATACCATATGATCCAGTAATTCCACTACTGGGTATTTACACAAAGAAAATGAAAACAGATGAAAATATCTATGTACCCCCATGTTTACTCCAGCATTATTTACAATAGCCAAGACATGGGAAAAACTGAAGTGTCCATCAGCAGACAAATAGTTAGATACACACACACACACACACTGGAGTGTTACTCAGCTATAAAAAAAGAATGAGATCTTGCCATTTGTGACAACACGGATGGACCTAGAGGGTATTACACCAAGTAAAATATGTCAGAGAAAGACAGATTACCATATGCTTTTACTTATATAGAATCTAAAAAACAAAACAAATGAACACACAAACAAAAAGCAGAAAATAGACCCATAAATACAGAGAACAAATTAATGATTGCCAGAGGAGAGGGCAGTGTGGGGGCGGGGGATGGGCAAAAGAGGTGCAGAGGAGAGGGAGATACAGACTTCCAGTTCTGGAAAGAATAACTTCCAGGGATAAAAGTTCCGGCGTAGGGAATGACGTCAGTGGTGCTATTACAGTGTTGTACGGTGGAGGACGGTAGCTGCCCTGTGATGAGCACAACAACACAATGCACACACTTACCGAGCCACTATGTTGTACACCTGAAACTAATGTAACACCATGTGCCAACTCTACTCCAATTAAAAAAAAAAAGAAGAAGAAGTTATTACCAACATTCCATTTATATATTTCACTGAGATTAGAACCTCTCAAAGCATGAGTTCATTTCTGACCTAAGTCCATGTCTTCCCTCTGGATTCATATATCACAGAAAAAGCTGGTGGGGAAAAACAAACAGACAGAAAGGCAACCTATGACGACATGCAATTCTCCTCTTCAGCTGATTCCCTCATACAGCGATCTTTAAGATTTACCAAAACTGGGGCGCTTGGGTGGCTCAGTGGGTTAAAGCCTCTGCCTTCGGCTCAGGTCATGATCCCAGGGTCCTGGGATCGAGCCCCGCATCGGGCTCTCTGCTCTGCGGAGAGCCTGCTTCCACCTCTCTCTCTCTGCCTGCCTCTCTGCCTACTTGTGATCTCTGTCTGTCAAATAAATAAATAAAAAATCTTAAAAAAAAAAAAAAGATTTACCAAAACTGGGCCAGAAAGCTCAATAAGCTTCTATGTACAGGGCTTGAACTTTACCTTTTTCCCCTGGAAAGAAGCAGAAGAGCTAAAACATAAACACAGAGCAGCTGTCTTCTGGCAAAGACAGCACCCCATTGCGCAGAGCCACACCCTGAGACCGAGACATGCACCAACCCTGACCCGTCCCTGAGCCCCAGCCGACAGAACTGTTCCGTATCTCCCCATGGGCCCCTGAGCTCACCCTCTGATGGAAGAATGGACAGGAACCGCAGGCTGGAGTGGCTCAAAATCTGCCACCTCCTGCTGGCAGTGCCAACACCCACCCACACGTAGGGATGGCACCAGCAAGAAAAGTTACCTTGCAGACAGCCGCCTGGAGAACGGCGTCAAAGCCCCCCTCGGGCGCGTCGCGGTTCCGGGACACCCGCTGTTTGCGGACCTCCTCGTTGAAGCTGTCCACTCTGTCTGTAAGAGGCAGCAGATGGCGGAACCCAAAGGATGGGACGCAGTTTGGGAATAACTTGTAACTGGAGAGAAAGAAAAGGAGAGTCACTTTCTAGCACTGTAAGTAAATCCTGAACGACCAAGCACTCAGTGTGTTCACGGAGCACCTCGAGCAGCCCTAGTCAGTATTCTCCGCTCCTACGGTGTGCCCCCGGGACAGGCAGCATGGAGTGGACAAAGAGAAACAACACGGTTCTTACTCTACAAACATCAAGGCCTAAGCTACAGGCAAGTCGGCATATCCAGGTTGCTCAGGGAATGGAATGGAAAAACGGTTCGGAAAAAAGTAGCAATAATCACGGGTTACTCCACATGAGGGAGCCCTGCCGCGGGCCTTGAAAGATACAGGGGACCCACGGCACAGGCACCATGGCCCAGGCAGCACAGCAAGGAAGGCTCTTCTGGGCTAGGGATGGTGGGCAAAGTCAAGTGAGAGCAGCCTGAATGGGGGTCTGCTTTGAAGCCAGCTTCCCACATCCCCTCTGCGGCCGCCATGTGCCAAAACATCGCGGAACCCCTTTGTGCCGACCCACGCAGAGACACCACGACAACCCGGAGCACGAGCACATGTCAATGGAACAGGAGTGAATGCATTCTTTCCACTACTTCGCGTGTTGGTAAATAGTGCAGTGATAAGCGATCAGCTCTCCTAAATGCAGCAGAAATCCTTCAGAAACTAACCACCTGCAAATGGAAGGTTAGCTCTGGCAGCTGGGGAAGAGGCAAGCACGGCATCTCGGTGGCAGGCGGGCACTGCCTCTTTCTCCCACAAGACTGGACAGTCTCATCTGCAGTCTGCAGTAGAGATCCCCATGTTAGGAGTTAGCTGGACAGTGAGGGGGTCAGGGCCGGGGCCCCCATGCAAAGAGGGGGTCAGGACAGCGACAGTGAAATAGCACTGATGTCCTGTGTGGCAGCTTAGACAGGACTGCATGGACTTTCTACTCTGCAGCCTTTGCAGAAATGACTTCTGCAAACCGTTCTAAAATAAGATAGCTAAGCACAACAGCATGCGTCAATATCACGGGCAAGGGGCAGATAAGACATAAGCCCCCAGATGTCAGCATAAAAAGGACCATCAGCATGTGGACATTAACAGGTAGACAGAAATGTGCCCGAAGCCCTGACTGGCATGACTCAGCACACCCTGAATGCTTAAGAAAGTTCTGCAAAAGACCTCCTAAAAACCCTCAAACTCAGGAACTCCGAGGGTCCCCCTCCCTCTCTGGGAGCTTGGTACTTTTGCTCAGTAAACTTGGCTTGGCTGCCCACCACTCTTTGGTCTGCCACGTCATTCTGCCAACTGGCGTGACCAAGAACTGTGGGCACTAAGGGGACAGAAATCCTGTAGCACCAAGTGGCCCCATACCCGGAGGAAGTTAGATTCCGTATCTCCCTGACATAGGAAGAGAGGCCTTACACCGTTTCACAAATGGATTCTCTAGGGGAGAGGCGGGAGGGGAGAGGGTCCTGGGCACAGAGCAGCACACATGCCAGAGCCCTGTGGCAGGAGAAAACATGGGGAGCCCAAGCACAGGGAGGCCGGGAAAGTGCAGGGCAGGAAATGAGGGTGAGGCTAGGCCAAGGGGAGGCTGGGAAGGCAGAATGAAAGAGACCACACAGGTGTGTGGCCTCTCTCAGAATAAAGGACAAAAAAAAAAACTACTAATGGAGAGGCATGGTAGGAAGGCTTTATAATCCAATTTAAGCTGTGTGCATGGGAAGGGAAACAGGCTTAGCAACTATTAGGGGATCCTGCCTGACTGCCGTCAAGCAGCAGCAGCCAGGGCAGGTCTGGACAGGCTCCCTTTCTCCCAAGTGAGAGGCAACCTGTAGCTTTCTAAGAGGCCATTCCGTTCCCCCGTGGGACGTGCAGTGCCTGCTCTGTCCACCAGGACACAACAAATCGGCCCTGGACAGAGTTGACCCCACTGCCAAAATGGCCTTGGCTCTCTCTGGATGGAGGGTGGGAGTTGCCCGCTTCCCTACATCTGCCTCCCCTTTGTTTCACTCCCTCCCTCTCCCTCAGTTCATCTAAGACTTGCGCTTTCTAGAACCCAGGCCACTCAAATGTTTTATCCCCATTTCATTCTGCCATGAAGGAAAGGTCATGGAAATGATATTTCCGGCTGGAAGAAGGAAAGGAGTGGAGGTCCCAACAGCAGTTATTGCAACTGGACAAATGGACAGATGCAGGGGGAAGTATATATACACCAACTCCCTTCCTCCAAGCCACTACACCTCTCTGTGTGGTTCTGGTGCACAACTGGGAGTTCAGGCGCACGTCGTGTGTGTGTGTGTGTGTGTGTGTGTGTGTGTGTGTGTGTGTTGGCTCGGTTCATCAAGTAGGTTGAGGAAAGGGAGGAGAGGAGCAGGACAGTAACTGTTGTTCAGTGAGAAAGCCGGAGAAGCTGTGGAAAGCTCACCAAAGTGAGCCTGGCATTTTTTACCCTTTCCCTTTCATTCCTGCTAGCAACATTAAGTAGATCTATCTTTACCTGGAGAATTACTATTAAATAATTGGGAACTAGACAATGTGTTTGCCAGAGAGAAGTCTTCATGGCAGAGAAATTACTATAATCAAATCAGTCACCTCTTTGTGAGAGGAAAACGGCTTTGTCCCACTGAATGTCTCACAGTCACTAAAACACAATGTCCTCTGTGACTAGTTATTTAATTTAATCCCTGGAAGGCCTGAGTGAACTGAAGGTCTGGGTGTTTGGGGGCCTAACGCTGAGAAACATTCCAACCCGCACCTTGTGTCTGCCCAGAGAGCCCTGTTTAGGGCCATGTATAGGGATTTACTAAATTAAGAATCATGAAGCAACTAGGTAAATAAAGTACACAGGCTTAAGTTGCCTGAGGGGAGCACGTACATATGAAAACAGATTGCAATTTAAAGACACTAGATCCAGGCAAATCCAGAAAATAATCCAAAGCTTCAAGACAACATTATGGGATAAGCTGATGTGGAAAGAGCTCCCCTCTTACTGTAAATATTTAGAACTGCTGGATAACATAAAATTTGTCAAACTGTCAACACGTAAACGTTAATATTGAAGCTTAGCAGAGAAATCCCAGGTACCAGAAATGAAGGGGAAAAAATCGTTCGACAAATGAGCACGCTTAGGAGATAGGTGGGCCTGGGGCGAGAGTTCAGGCCAAGGAGATCCGGGATGTGTCAGGACCGCTCGGGTGGAAGTCCTAAGGGCCGGGGGTGGGAGTCAAACGGGGACAGATGAAGTCCGGGAACCGGGCTCTCCGCAGAATGCTGAGCGCCACAAAGAGCTGCTCTGTCACCAAAATCAAAGACAAAAATTACAGCCACTGGCCTCGGAAAGAAGCAAGGAAGAGCCACTCCAGGCCCAGAGTGAGATGAATCACCCATAAAAATTGTTCACTCCAGACCCAAGCAAGTCAGAAGTCACTGTTTTTATGGTGAAGGAATGTCCAACTGAGACGAACAGGAAAACTTGTCCCATGGAGACCCAGAGGATCCCGGCGGCAGCAGGCAGACACCCGACCCGCAAGGATGCAGATGTGCCAGCCGGCAAGCCTGGGGCTGAGATGCTCGTGCGGAAAACCAGAACAGGCGAGGAAGCTGATGGCGAAGTTCTGGACCCCGCAAGAAACAAGCCACCTGGAAGGAAGGTCCACAAACGCAACAAACAGGAAGAACTGCTGTTCTAGAAATGGAGGCAACAGAATGATCTGAAGCACGGTAAGACGAGGTACTTCAGACAGCAAAGGAGAGGAGAGAATAGATACCAAAAGCTAAAACAGGGTATAAGAAGGAAAAAGAGTCAGAAGGCTCTGGAGGGGTAGGGGACCCAGTGTCAAAAACAGAAGTTTGGAAACAGAACCAACTAAAAAATATAGTCAGTGAAATAAAAAACGAATCATCAGTGTACGGATGAAGCAACTGAAGAACAAAATGGTAAACTAGAAGAAATGTCCTATTCTGGAAATTAGTGTTACAAAATGAAGAGGAGGGGGGGTCCAAGAGGAAATGTCTATGAATAGTCAAGAATAAAAACGTGTATTCTCGGGGTGCCTGGGTGGCTCAGTTGGTTAAGCCGCTGCCTTCGGCTCAGGTCATGATCCCAGGGTCCTGGGATTGAGCCCCGCATCGCGCTCTCTGCTCAGCAGGGAGCCTGCTTCTCCCCTTCTCTCTCTCTGCCTGCTTCTCTGCCTACTTGTGATCTCTGTCAAATAAATCAACAAAATCTTAAAAAAAAAAAAAAGTATATTCTCAGGCTAAACACACAGACTAGATTCTGAGCAATGTAAAGAAAAGTCAGTTCAATCTAGACACACTGAAATGTGTATCATTACAGAATAGGAAAAACACAGGAAAATATTAAAAGCCACCAGAGAGAAGGCAAACCATCAGACAGACAGCAGACTTCTCATTGGCCACAAGAAATGCCAGAAGACAACGAAATCATCCCATCAAGGTGGGGAAGGAAGACTCTGAGCCCTTGGAAGAAATACGGGAAAGGTAAGAAAAAACATAAATGATGAAGGATGAAATGTGTTATCTCAATTGTGCAGATTTTCACATGTATATTTCTGTGTGTGTTTGTGTGGCAAGAACATTTAAGATCTACTCTCTTAACTTCCAAGTATACAAGTATGTGTTCCAAGTCTAGTATTGTCAACGATCGTTAACTGTGCTCTACATTTCATCCCCAGAACAAATTCATCTTTTAACTGGAAGTCTATCTTTTGACCAAAGTCTCCCTGTTTCCCCCACCTCCCAGCCCCCAGCAACCACCAGTCTACTGTTTCTATGAATTTGGTTTTTCTGGATTCCACATATAAATGTGACATGACATGCACTTCTTTTCTTTTTTTAAAGATTTTATTTATTTGGCAGAGAGAGAGAGAGATAGAGAGAGCGCAAGCAGGGGGAGCAGTAGGTAGAGGGAGAAGCAGACTCCTTGGTGAGTAGGGAGCCCAATATGGGGCTCTCTCCGAGGACCCTTGGATCATGACCTGAGCTGAAGGCAGATGCTTAAAGGACTGAGCCCCCCAGGCGCCCTGAAAAGAGTTTTGGTTAAGATGCTGTTGCACCTGGTCAGCAGCAAAACTCCAACCAGAGGACATCTGGAACTGAGACTCGGCTGAAGGGGCCTTGGAGTCAGGACCAGACTAACAACACCAGCAGTCACCGGTGGCCAGAAGGAAGCTAAACCCAGCAAATGATGACACGTAGGCCTCTTAGCAGTTAAGGAACTTAGATTCACTTTTCTATTTAAACCTTTTTCTTATTCATTGATTTTCCCACCCCTGTGTCAGTTCCCAAGCCCTAAGGGAAGGTCGAAGGGAGCTTCAAGAGAGTGCACGGACAGTCCAGAAAGATGAAGGAGAACATCCATTACCAGCACGAACACCACCGCGTGCCGACCACCCAGCCCAGGGCAGGGCTGGGAGCTGCTGAGGCTGCTGAAGATAAGCCAGGGAGTTGGGCAGGTTCAGGGGACAGCTCCCTTCCTCCCTGGGGCAGCCAAGTAACCCAAGGATGGAAAATGCCACCGTAGGCAGAAAGGCCTGGATCCAAGTCCCTGCATGAAGGAGAGCCATCAGGGAAAGCAGCTCAACCCTCACCAGACTTGATACAATCAAGAAATAAACCCGGATGGTGCTGAGCCATGGGGATGCGGGGGCTGTGTGTCACAGTAGCATCGCCCAACACTGCCCTCGGGCAAGTTCCTTGAGGGTCAGGTGGTCTGGGAATGGGTATTGGCCTTTAGACTGGACTCAGGAGGAGCTTCTGTGCTGTCGTGTGACTTGGATGGACAAAAGCAAGCACGGTGTCACCGGGACTGCAGACTCTGAAACAGTCTGACTTCACTCACACTCCAAGTCCCCCCTTACTAGTGGTGTCATCTCGGGTCAGCTGTTTATTCCAAGTGTCCGTGTCCTCATCTGCGAAGCACGGCTCAACATCTATCAGAGGGACCTCAAAAGACTGTCACGAGATTTAAATGAGATGATCCATTCGGTGCAAAGCACTTCGTGCGGTGCCTGACACTTGGTAAGAACCTAAGTCTTCGCCGTTTCTTGTCTAGTAACGACTCTGGGGCCTCACAGCCCAAAGCCTGATTCAAGTTGAATGTGGGGATGAGAAAGAAAGAGCTGGAAGTTACCACTCGTTGTCACAGACCACATAATCCTGACATTTCAAGGGAACCATTACAAGACTAGAAACAAGCCAACCTAGAGGTTGCCTTAGGGGAGCTGGCGGCTGTGACCCCCCCATCCCCGCCACCCCCCGGCATAAGTACACGATGGAGGAGTCCTGGTCACCAGTCCTGCTTCCTCTTCTTCCTGGGCACAACCAACCTAGCTTCCAGCCTCCTTGTTAGAACTCCCTTCTACCTGGTAAGATACAGAAGCAGTGAAAGCCACTCAGCCCTGGCCCATAAGCTCCACCTCTGAGCAATCGTCCAGACACAGGGACCTTCAAAGTCACATGTGGAAGATGAAGAAGTCCGGGGCACACGGAGCCTGGGTCCCTGGTCCCTGATACCCTGCTTAGAAGAGAGGTGTGCACTGATCAGGAGAAGACCCATTTTTAGGTGGGCAGGAAATAAACTTTTTTTTTTTTTAACCATTTTATTTATTTGACAGAGAGAGCACAAGTGTGCACAAGAGGGGGAGCTACACAGGGAGAAGGAGAAGAGGACTCCCCACTGAGCAGGGAGCCTAATGTGAGGCTCAACCTGAAATCATGACCTGAGCCGAAGGCAGACGCTTAACCAACTGAGCCACCCAGGCACCCCAGGAGATAAACTTCTACCGTGACATACTTTTGGATTTTTGTTGTGGCAGTTAGAAATTCCTGCTCTCAGGGGCGCCTGGGTGGCTCAGTGGGGTAAAGCCTCTGCTTTCGGCTCAGGTCATGATCCCAGGATCCTGGGATCGAGCCCCGCATCGGGCTCTCTGCTCAGCAGGGAGTCTGCTTCCCCCCGCCTCTCTGCCTGCCTCTCTGCCTACTTGTGATCTCTCTGTCAAATAAATAAATAAAATCTTTAAAAAAAAAAAAAAAAAGAAATTCCTGCTCTCAGATAACCTGTCAAATATTTTCTAGTTGGAGTACTTGACTTATATTGGGAAAAAAGTCATACCTTTAAATCACAGCAATTCCACTTCATTTTGTCAATGTGAGTTCTATTTACAGAAACAACAAATAATTCACTTCTCCCCAAGCACCTCAGGCACCCCAAGCAAGAGAAAAGTTTCCACTGTCCTGCCTGCTCTTTCCCTGAACGCCTGGGTGTTCACCTCCTGAGAGCACTGTCTTCAGCTGGAAAACGGTGCTGTTGTCAGACAGGCAGGAAAACGAATGAGCTATGATCATCATACCTCCCTACAGCCTTGCAACCGTTCACGTCTCCACACATAGTGGGAGCACAGAACTGGGTCATCATTGATCAGTTTAAACACTGAAGTCTGCTCCCCCACTGCCCCCGTAAGTCCTCCTTAGTCCTTTCTTTGGGATAAGTTTTCCTGTGACTCTGTTCTCCCACCCTTAAATACCCAACAGAAGGACAACTGTCACTCACCCGATGCATGGATTGTTCTGGTACCTCGGCGCTGTGTAGGAGAAAGGGGAGATGTTTTTGTCTACAAAAGACCCGAACCCCAACCGGAAGTTGCTGGTGAGCTTCCTCATCTCCTCAGCGAGCTTGGTGCCCAGGTTCCGGATGTTGTCCAAGTCGTCCTTCATGGACAGGGAGAGGTCCATCAGGTAGTACAGGTCCACAGGATAATCCTCTACCTGTCGAACCTGCAGCTGGAAAGTTGTCTTGTCACCTGTGCCAACAGAGAGGCCATGCTCATTAGAGGTCAGCCAGCTTGCTGGGGGCTGAAGGGATGGATTTTGCTTCTAAAGCCGGTCCCCCTTACTTTTCTTTTGTGACTGCATGCCTCTCAGAAGAAATACTGTTCTTGGAAGTGGAGTTATGGTGCTGAAGGGGAAGTTCTAGGTTCTAGGCTCTCTTTCCAAATATTTGGCTCAGGTTTTTTTTTTTTTTTTAAAGATTATTCATTTATTTATTTATTTGACAGAGAGTGATCACAAGTAGGCAGAGAGGAAGGCAGAGAGAGGAAGGGAAGCAGGCTCCCTGATGAGCAAAGAGCCCAGTGTGGGGCTGGATCCCAGGTTCCTGCGATCATGACCTGAGCCTAAGGCAGAGACTTTAACCCACTAAGCCACCCAGGAGCCCCTTGGCTCAGAATTTTTAAGGAAACTCTTTAACAACTAGTCTCCTCAGTGCTGTTCTGTTTTGTCAGCAAAAAAGGGCAGTTGGTGGACAAGGAATCAGCCAATTCCATGGACACAGATTAGGTGACAGTCGCCCACCAACCACACACCAACTTCAGAGAAAGGAGCGGCCAAGTTGCGAACATGGTGGGGAGGAGATTGTAAAGGTGTGAATGAAACAGAAAAGAGGGAATAAACAAAAGGAGGTACGGGCATGAGTGACTAAGAAATAAGATGGGAAGAGAGAGGTATAAGGCAAGGGGGAGTGGGGACACATGCTTCCTTAACATACCCCAAAGCAAAAATATTTATGCTTCTGCCACTTCTTCTATTTCCCTAGCCACTTATAAACAATAGTATTTAGTTCTTGGGCATATATGACACTTTGGGATATCATAGACATAAGTTATCATCATCAGAAATTATATGTATAAATACAGGAAGACAGATTCCAAATTTTAACACAATCAGAATGAAGGGAGAAAAGAGAGAAAAAGAAAAAAAAAAACAGAAACACTACTATATTTGCCTACCAGCTACAAGAAAGAGAATATAATTTTTGGTTCCACAATAAGAGTCAGAGACAAAAGAGAAGGAGGAAATAATTCAGAGGGAAAGAAACGAAGAGAAAAGCCCATGACAGCCCTCCCAGGGCTTAGAGAAAGGCCCAAGTCAGCACCACAACTAAGAGATTCACTCCAGGATAATGATGCTAAATCATTTCATAGGCTCTCAAAACACATCATTTAGAGCCAACTTCCAGAAGCAATCATACCAGATAGTTCTATCTTCAAGCTAACTCGTTTTCTTTTTTTTTTTTTTTTTAAAGATTTTTATTTATTTATTTGACAGAGAGAGATCACAAGTAGGCAGAGAGGCAGGCAGAGAGAGAGGAAGGGAAGCAGGCTCCCTGCTGAGCAGAGAGCCCGATGCGGGGCTTGATCCCAGGACCCCAGGATCATGACCTAAGCCGAAGGCAGAGGCTTAACCCACTGAGCCACCCAGGCACCCCAAGCTAACTCGTTTTCAAGGCACCAAGATGTCCTTCAACTCTCTGCGCAGGAAAGCTGTACACGCCTTTGAAATATGGACAGACACGCTGTGTTTAGAGGTGCAAGAGTGAAGTTGGCCTTTCCTACCCAGAGGGTCCACGCCCGGTCTGTGGGCAGTTACCACCCAGGGAAGCTCATCTCTCACCTCAAGCAGACCAGCAGCAAGCAGAAGTCCTCTTAAACCTGCAGGACAGGGACCCCAATCCCATGTGCTCCCTCTCTTCCTCCCACCCCAGACAAGCATATGGCACTAACTAGACCAAAGAGATTCAAAGGACCAAGTTCCAGCTCCGTCCCTTGACCACAGGTGCAACCTGAGCCTCGGTGCCCTTGGGGATACAATGGAAATAACAGTGCAGTCCTGATTAAGGGTATGAAGAGCTCATGTGGAGAACATGTTTTGTAAGCAGCAGAGGCCTGCATAAATGAAGTATAATTATTATAATTACTATTTGTTGCCTGAGTGACAGCACCGAGCCTGCTTCCCTGGACCTGTCTTTGCGTGTACTACTCTAGCTTCCTCAAGACTGACGTAGTTTGGGTTGCCTGTTGATAGAAGCCTATTTTTAAAAACCATCAGAATCTGACTCAAGCAGAAGAATGCTGGAGATTTCTTCCAAAATGAATTCTGGACGGCTGCAATGTCTGCCTCCGGTTCCCATCAGAAAGACTGAGCAGGTCCCAGCACTGAGCACCCCCCAGCTCTAGATGACACAACACAGTGGGGAAGGGGCAGGAGGGAGGAGAACTTGGGGAAGGGGAGTGCCTCCTTGGCCTTGGCTTAGGCAGACCACCAGTGGGCAGAGCCTGTGATGCATGTCTGCTCTGTCCAATCCCATGACCTCTTCAGAGAGGCTTCTGCATTTTCTGTCATCTATGCCCTTCCCCCAAAGTTCCCAACTACATCTTCTTTTATCCAGAATCCACTTTTGTGGACTGTGAGTACAGGACTAACGAGCCCTTTAGGACCAGGAAGTCTGAAATGGGCTTGGACTTGGGGAGGTGCCTATGGGAGGGCAGAGGGTACTAGGCTTGGAGAACGAGAGCTGAGCTGGAATTCAGACCTTGTCACCGAGATTTTGGGAGACTTCAGGCTCCTCTAAATTTGCGTCTCAGTTTCTAGATGGGTAAAATGGGAGGTTGTTAATTACTGTGGGGATCAAACAAGACAAATGCCTCTACTCCAGGAAGACTTCCACCTGGGTTCTCCCCAGAAGTCAGTTATTAAAGCAACTTCCTGTAGGGATAAAAAGCGAGACGGAAAATTCTGTCAGAAACTTGAGTGTGAACGGCTATAGCTTTGGGCATTACATTTAACTCCACATTTTCCAGAAAGTGAAACAAGGTGGGACCACGCGTTTGTGTGTGCTCAGCAGGCATCTACTCTGAAGTGAGAAAGCTCTTGGCATCAAATTCTAAGAGAAACTGATTCAGAGAATCAGTTTGATTCTCAGAATCAAACTCAGAGAAACAGAAAAACACACACACCCCTCCCCATTCAGGGGCTGCCAATGTTAAACAAAAAGTATTTCTCCCAGTTTTCCAGAAGGGGGAGGGTATAAGAAGGAGGGTGTTATCATTAGCGTTGGGAATGAGGGTTTACTGCTACCTCAGCTATCCCTGATTTTAGATGCTACAAACTTCTCAGGGGGCCATGGCAAGAACGGGATGTTCTGTCAGCAGATTTCGGAGGGGCCGACATTCTTGGACCAAGTCTCAGTGTGAGTGTTAAGTGTGGGAGTTAAGCAGCAGTGCCCCAGCCCCGCTACGAGCAAGGTCAGCAGACTGAAGGAGAGGCTGCCGCCACGTGCAGAGAGAAAGTCTGCAACCCACTTTCCATTTCTGGACACACTTCCAGAACCAGGCACGCTCAGCCACTCTCCAGCAGTCCAGCCAGCTACACGGTTCTGCACCACTCAATACATGTCACCTCCACGTGTCCAGCAAAGAGCAGAGCCCTTGTCACCTTCACTGGCAGCAGTGGGCCAGTGCCCGCTTCCGGCTCTCCTACTGCAGGCATGTACCAGCCAACCACCTGAAATGTACTTTTAAAGTTTTTCTCTCTCTATGTCCTCCCTTCAATCAAAAGTGAAGAGAGAGGGGCGCCTGGGTGGCTCAGTGAGTTAAGCCTCTGCCTTCGGCTCAGGTCATGGTCTCAGAGTCCTGGGATCAAGCCCCACATGGGGCTCTCTGCCCAGTGGGGAGCCTGGCTTCCCCCTCTCTCTCTGCCTGCCTCTCTGCCTACTTGTGTTCTCTCTCTCTGTGTCAAATAAATAAATAAAATCTTAAAAAAAAAAAAAAAAACCTAAAAAAAAAAAGTGGAGAGAGAGTCAGGGCACCTGGATGCCTTAGTCGGTTGGCCAAGCCTTGATTTAGGCAGGGGTCATGATCTCAGGGTGGTGAAATCAAGTCCCACATGGAGCTCCCCGCTCAGCAGAAGAGTCTGCTTGAGGATTCTCTCCTTCTCCCTCTGCCCCTCCCCCCAAATAAACAAATAAACAAATCTTAAAAAAAAAAAAAAAGTGAAGAGAGAGTGAAGGAGGGAATTCCACCAAGAACTTCTGGTATTTTTAAGACTGATTTTTGTCCAAACGTTCAGACAAAGTAGTATTCCAACCGATAAAGATGCTTGCCGTGCCCAAATAAATTTAAGTAGTTTTTGATTCCTCAGAATTACCTTTCTGTGCCAAAAACTGAAAAAAGAAGCAGCACATTAAAATCCACTATATTAGGGACGCCTGGGTGGCTCTGTTGGTTAAGCCGCTGCCTTCGGCTCAGGTCATGATCCCAGGGTCCTGGGATCAAGTCCCGCATCGGGCTCCTTGCTCAGTGGGGAGCCTGCTTCTTTCTCTGCCTCTGCCTGCTTGTGTTCTCCCGTGTGCTCGCTCGCTCTCTCTCTCTCCCTCTCTCTCTCTCTCTCCCTCTCTCTCTCTCTGACAAATAAATAAATAATAAATAAAATCTTAAAAAAAAAAATCCACTATATTACAACAGGACCGCAGCTCAACAGGGAATTAGGGCTCAGGTGTACACCTTAGGACCATCATCTAGCTCTTCTGTTTACTGTAGTGGAAGGTAATTAGTATCCCAGAATTAAATCCAGACCTAGAACAAAAGAATTGCCTCCCTGGTCTAGGACAAGGCTGGTGTGCCCTACTGTATCCCACTCCTCACTGCAGAATTCTGACTCTAGACGGATGGAACGAAGGAAGGAACCAGGTGAAGACACAACTGGCCTCTACCAGTGTCTGCCCCAAAGAGGGTTCTCACCAGGACTCAAACAGGCTTGACCCTGATCTTGGACTTGGAGACTTCAGGATCCTGAGAGAGAAATTTCTGTTGCTTATAAGCCCTCAGTCTATGGGTACTTATTAGAGTAGCCCAAATGGACTAAGACTGGGTTTTGTTTTGTTTTGTTTTGTTTTCCAAGGGAAGTAGGAAACTAGGAATGCCAGGCCTGGGTTGTAGACTGCAGGCGTCCTGCTGTGTCCTCACAT